GCCTCCAGATGCGGGCTGCTTCGCTTTCACAGGAGTTATATAAAGTGAGAATTACCTAGCGAGCTCGGCACTGAGCAGCCCTATCGTCGAGGTGAACAGAACTGCTCCATCCGGGACGAAGCCGAGAATTCATTCCATTTAAAGGCCTCTTTTTGATCTCCCAAATCCTATAAGTGAGAATTTAAGAAACCAGTATTTGAAGGAGGGGCTTCATGGGGAGGAGAAGGAAACCCACGTACATGGAGTTTCTTTGATCCCAGTGCTTTTTAATTACCAAACTGGGCTATTCCAGATGACGACTCAGGGAGAACAGCGGAGGAAAGGTCGATTTACTGTTTGGGTCTACGTGTGCATATTGAGAGCATCATTTATGTGCCATTTTGGGAGTTGGTCTATATACATCATTCCTGAAGGTATGAAATCGTAAGCACAGATAACGTCCACTAAGAAATCTAAAGCAGTAAAATAAATTACTGTGTATCAATGTTCTTGACAAATGAACAAAACCTGCTCCCTCTGAGGAAGGGGCTGCCTAGTGGTAAATTAGAAGGTGGTGTTTTTCACGCACAGTGAAAAGAGGGGATGGCCAGGCTCTACCCAGCATGGGCTGTGCAACCTTGGGCAACTCAACATCAGTTTTGTCGTCTACATATCAATGGTCGCCTTTCTCACTTGACATCCTTGAGGATCAAATATTTTTAGATGCATTAAAAAGTTTAGCCCAACGCACACACACCTCTAGTTCAGAAACACCAACACACAGTAGAAGAAGCTTCATAGTAAAACCTGAACCTTCAAAACTTCTGAGTCTTCATTAATACAGATCTAGCACATGTAATAGGGAGCTGGAAATACTCTACAGATGTTCTGGATCTTACTCATAGGATGAAGATTTCAATTTATAAATAGCAGCTTTTTCCAAAGAGAGGCTCACCTCACTGTTCCTGCATCAAGAAATCCAGAAATTAATTCCACCCTGGGTACAACTGTTTTGCTTAGTATAATATGTTCATTTTCTATTGATAATATCTAGTTTTGGTTACAGTCAACAGACACTTGTCTATCTACCTACCTACCTATTCATGTTTACATAAACATATTCTAAATTACTGAATTTTCAAGCTTAGATGTAAACCTTAGGAATAATCCAATCCAAGGATTGGCCAATCAAATGTGGCCCACCACTTGGTTTTATAAATAAAGCTTTATTGGAACATAGTCACACCCAGTTGTTTACATGTTGGCTATAGCTACTCTCCCCATATATCAGCAGAGGCAAATAGTTCTAACAGACTACGTTGTCTGCAGGGTCAAAAATACTTACAACCTGCCCCTTTATAAAGTTGTCCAACTCCTCCTCTGAGGTAAGAAACTGAGATCAGGAAAGAAATGACCTTGTTTAGGTGTTATAGTGGGGTCACTGCACAGCTGGGCCAGCATGTGAGTTTGGACTACCTTTACCTTACCTTTCTAGAATGAGCAGAATGGCTGCCGAGGAGGTGAGGACAGCCATCCAAGCGAGCAGAGGCCTTATGCCAATGGCCACACTGCGTGATCTCATCTTAAATAGAAACAAGTGACATCCTAACCTGGGGAGAGAGCTAAATCTTCTGGGAGGAAGGTAGAAGAAGAGCACAAAAGGGTTTATAAGCCTCCAATTTGAGTTATTTAAAGCTCTCGGTGTATCATTCTGCACCCACTCCACTTACAGTAATGACATATTTAAACTCCCTTAGCTCAGCCCCATGATAGCAGTCTTACCCATTTTGATTGCCACCTGAAATAAACAGTTGAAGCAGCTGCCACCTCAGGCAACATGGGAAGAGAGAATGGAGAAAGGCATGACAATGAGGGAAACCTAAAAAGTGAGTAGTAAACCCTGAATGAGGCACTGGAAGGATGGAAAGTTCTAGGCTCAGAGGAAGAGGAAGTTGGATTTTCGTTCTAGCTGTTATACTGCCTTACCCAAATGATCTTTGCTGAGACTTAACTGCACTGACCCTTACTGTCCATCTGTGTCAAATGCCAAACAGGCTGGGTGACACCTATATCCCCTGTAGGGATAAAATGAGGGGATATCCAGCCAGGTTCCTAGCACTGTGTTTGGACACACAGGACAGGCATTATCATTTCCTTTCCTCTGCATGCTTCCCACCCTAAGCCCACCCTGTGGATTGGTCAACAATCAGAACAGGGCCCAGAGTTCAAGTTCTGTTATCAAAAGAGTTTGAAGAGGAAGTCTAGATCAGCTTTACCTTTTAGAGGCCTGAGACTACGTATGAGTCAAAGATTCGGTCCTACTGAGACTCCACTTAACAATCTACAAGGTGGACACTATGCCCCACCAGTCTCCCAGACAATCGTGACTATCAGTGAATCAATCACCTGGCCTGATAGCCAATATACCTAATAAGCACTCATTAAATGCTAAAACTACACCCTGCTAATTTGTATCAACCAACTGAAAATAGTCCCCACACAACTTAATACAGGAATGTGTGCAGCTGTGTGAGCGTACTTCGTGTAAGAGTGTGTGTATGTGTGTGTGTGTGTGTTCTGTTTCCTTCAACCAGAATGTGAACTACGCAGGGTAGAGTCAGTTTGTCAATTTATCTGTTACCTCCTTTCACAGCTACTGGAGTTACTCAATGCCCCTCAGGCCCAGCAGCAAAGTCTCCCCTCCTTTGATCACTCTGGAGTCAAGTGAATTATACCAGAATCCTGAGAGGCAGTGGGGCCTGCCCAAGGGGACACCAATGCAACACTAGGCAGCCATCAAAGGAGGAGACGGCTGAGATAATACACAGGCCTACGTGTGACACCAGCGAGGGAAACACGAGCAGAGCTAGTGTGAAGGCTTTGAGACATCCAAAGACATCCTCGTAGCCCCTTAATAAAACACCTGATAGGTTTACCCAGCCTGCCGGAATCCACACACAGTACTGCAAAGTGAACCAAGCCGCTTCAGCCCCGTGAGTGCCAAGGCAGGAGCCATTGTCTGTGATCGCCTCACAGACGAGATAGCAACTGCTCCCAGGCAGCTTGCTGCCACGGGCCCAGCCAAAGCCTGTAGAGCCTCCCACTGCTGGCGTCCTGGCTCACAACTGTGAGCGTTAATGAAAAAATGACAGAAAGTCAAAGAGAAAGGAAAAAAAGACCGAGGAAGCAAACCGAGAGTTGGGAATGTGCAGAGATGTGGCAAGTATAAGCCTGTCTGGAATATTCTCACAGCCCATCCAGGCAGCAGCAACTTCCCTGACACTCGCAAATAGGCCCTTGAGATTCCAAGGCAGGTTATGGCTCGAAAAAGAAATCCCACCTCATGTTTGCAAACACTACCCCTGGCCTTGTTTTAAAGGCAGGCCGGTAGCAAAGAGGGCTCACACTCCAGAACCTTCCATTCCACAAGCTGGACTTGTCTCGTAATCATTTTCAATCTCTCTCCCTAGCAGGAGGGGCTGGGTGATGGACAAATTCCCCTTCATGCTTTAAATCAGTCTGGACTGTAAAGTCCATGATCAGCAACACACTTAACTATTCTTTAGAACTGGCCAGAATGAATCAGCTCCAATTGGCCGTGCCAGAGAGTGCTGTGGGGAAGGCATTTTTCATAACCAACCTGGAAGGGCAGTTAAGTGCTATTCTGAATGCAGGGTTGGGCTGAAGGATGCTGGTTTCTCTTTGTTGCATGGCCTCCCATTCATGCAGAAATTGATTAATTCCAGAGACAGGGAACTCTCCATTTTGAAGCTAAATAGAGGTCATGGCACTCATCCCAGACAGTAACTCACATCTGGACACATCTGGGGATAGGGTCACAGCTGCCCATCACCTTGGGCAAACAAATAAAAGCACAGAACCTCCACACCAGCCAGAAGGCAACAGCGACTTTGTGCTACCCAGGGTGAGCATGATGGCCAGTGTCACAAGGGGAATTGAATGATGAGCTTAGATAAACAGGTGCAGCATCCTCTCAGGATGCCTGAGCAGCCCTGGGAGACACACACACACGCAGATGCATACAAGTGTGCATACACACAGGCCTGTACAGAAGGAGACCGTCCATACTCAGGCTCTCGGGACAATGCCCACAACTACTCAAAGATGCAGGAAGCTGAGCGGCAGCCCAGCCACACACCTACCAGCCTCCGGACACATGGAAGTCAGAAGAGGGGTACTATGCAAACCCAACAAGGGCCAGTCCCCTAAAGCCACCCAACTCAAGACCTGGGGAAACACAACCACCTGAGGACTGTGTTACCTCAGGAAGAACCCATTCTTCAAGGCACCGGCTCCCGGATGCCTCAGAAAGAGGATAAGTACGTCACACACAGGGTTACACAGCTTATCTGACTGTTGTCTATCTGTCTGTCTGTCTGACTCCCTCTGTCACACTTACACACACTCTCATTCCATTTCTTGACTGATTTGGGGCATTCTGTGTTGCTCCCAGCCTGCTTGAGTAGCAGAGCCCAGAGAATAATTTTACCACTGCCTCAGACATTCTGACAGGTACACAGGCCCAGCATCTTTGCCGAGTTTCCTTGGGCATCTGACAGAAGAGGGCTCAGTCAAAAAGGGCCCCAGGGAGACTCCCTTAAATGCAGTTTCCAGAAAGGCACAGAATGAAGGACAGCACTGACTCACAGCTCCCTAGCAGCGCTGTGGGGGCTCCTGCCCCGTGACTCAGAGCTCCACATCCCTCCCCAGCCACAGCTACCGGCAGCTCCCGGCCCAGGCTCCACGTGGCTGGCAAAAGCAAGCACAACCATACTCAAAGGCCACTCTGTCTGCTCCTGCAGGCACAGAGGTCACCAAGTCGACCACAAGATGGGCTCTTCCACCTCGGCTCCTGCCGAAATTCACTTAAATCTTGACAGCAAGTTCAAGGACACAGTTCTTGAGGACACAGCTGTGGCAAAGGCAGAGGCTATGGCAGCCACGTCTAAGGACTGGACAGGTGGCTCTGCATGTGCTCACCAGCCCCACACACCACTTACCTTGCCAAACTGCTCGAAATATTGCTTTACATCTTCCACCACTGTGTTTGCAGATAATCCGCCTACGAATATTTTCTTTGTTCTTGTGACCATCTGTAAGAAATGATAAAAGGAGGACACGGGTTAACCAGGTTATCTGAAACAATGCTTGCTAAGATGCTACAACAAGCCAGACTCCACATTTCTCTAGGAAGGCAATTTTACATTTATTCAAGCTGTGCAGAGAGGGCCCTTTAGATGGCTCGGGGAATTGAAGACAGTCATTCTGGATACCCTAAAACTTCAGGATGCAACCTAAAAGCTTGAGTTCCTCACAGAGCGGACTTCAGAACTTCCCTGGACATAGCACACACTTTCATTCTGATGTTTTCATTCAACAAGAAAAGCCACATGGCAATGCTGTATATTAAAGCTAAGAGTGTAAACACAGCAGAGTTATGTGCATAAAAACCTGCTGCCCAAAAAGTATCCATAAAATCTGTCAATAGAAACTCACATGTAGGGTCTCCCTGTTGGTGCCAGGGGTTAAGTCTCAGCACTATGAAGCAATCCGCAGCTACTGCAGCGCAGCACAAATTCAATCCCCAGCCAGCCACGGAGCTCAGCAGACCACTCCTGTCTTGCCCACTGCTCCCCTCAGCAGTGTATTTCAGTCAATCCGCCTGTTCTGCTCCCCACTCTGTCTCTGGTGAAGCCTCTCACTACCCACACACCTCTGGCCTGTAGCCCAGCATAAATAAATCTTTAAAAAAGAAAAAAACTTGCATGTAATTCAAAAATAGGCATGGACTATCTCTAATGAGCTGTGGGTGCTGATGTCTGCCAACAGAACCAATACTCAGTTAAGCCCATCAAATCCCAGGTCTCCACACCTTTGTCCACAAGGTCCTTCTCCTTGAAATGCCTCTCTACTGCTCAATCCCTCATGGCAAGTTGTAACCAGCTTCCGAGATCCAACCACTTTCCCCACAATTAAAATTATCTACATAGTTGCCCCATCCAAAAGCTATTCCCCCCTTTTCTGAAATCCCCAACGCTATACCCACCTGCCTCTCAAGACACTCACTACTCGCCATCTAGTACTGACATCACTGATAATCCCCACAGTGAGTCCCTATTCCTCTTGATACCCCCCCACAATGCCAACAAATAATAAAACAAGCCCCCGCACCATGTTATTTATGTCTATGACAACTCATTGTAGGATGTTTAGAGCCATGGCTGCCTGGGCCACTCACTTATCCTGGGTCATTACCAGAGACTCCTGACACATTTGCTGAGAGAATGAACCCATCAACCCACCTCCAACAGGAAGACCCAGGGCAGAGTGATGCCCAGGGACACTGCGGTTGCAGGCAGGCTGTGCTGAGGAGTGCAAAAGGCAGTAGAAACCCAGCCTCTATCCGAATTTGGGTGTGACCCTGAACAGAACTCACTCCTAGGGTCTGGGTTCTGTCCTCTGCACTTGAAGTCCTGGACCAGGCCTCCAGGCCCCACCTAAGCCTGAACTTGCATAAATCTGCACATAAGACAGACAGGACCAACGAAGGTGCCCAGACTTCAGGGAGCTCCCGCTTTAGCTTAGCAGCTCCCACAGGGATATATGTCGGTGCAGCCCTCTGCTTGAGCCCAAACTGGAATATCCTTGTAGTGGACTTTCTGCCCTGCTTGAAAAGGGCATTGTGCCACAACTCTATACACTTCCTTTGGACTGTGAGAGTCTGGCAGTGACTTAAATGTGGGTTTAAGCTGTGATTTCCCATTTTCCCATCTCTTCAGATGAACGGGAGATTAGATAATTAATATGAGGACCTTCAATGAAGATCTCACCAATGTTCACATCCTCAGAGCTCCAAAAATCTCTACTTTATGACTGGGCATCTTGTTCTGCTCCTTATTGCCCATGGCCCTTCTTACTTATTTAAGGATCAAGGTCACCTCTACAGCGAAACTCCATCAGGCCCTCTCCAGGTTTAAATTTCTCCCTACACTCACTCCCTAATCACCAATTTTTACTAACCTAACTTTGTTAATGTATTCATGCAACAGATATAGTAAGTGCTGGATGCTGGAACTTACATTCTAATATGATGTGGAATTTAATCCACTATAAAATGGAGATATAATAATTAGCCTACCACACAAGGTTACCCTATTAGGACTAAATTTAATAACATATGCCAAAGTGTCTAAGCAGGACACTGGGTAGACGCTAAGTAGATGGTCACTCTAAATCCAAAGTCAATTATAAATTCATCCTTCAAGCTCAGAATAAACGTACAGCAGAAAGACATCTCATACAGAAAACTCTGATAAATAAACTTATTGCCCCATTTTCTTCCACTATAATTTCTAAAACATTTTCCTGCATCTCTGCATGATTTCAGATGGGCAAAGGCTCCCAATAGTTTCATTTTAGATTTTTCACTTCTTTTTTAAAACCCCAACCAAGAAATTAAATATTCATAAAGAAACACTAATGTGATCTGCAAACATGCTCGAGTGTAGTGGAATTCTCGACTTAAAGAAACTCAGGAGGAGCATTCTATAAAATGAACCCCATGGTCTCATTTATACACTGTTTAGAGCCAGGCGGGTAGAGAGCAGGCCCTTTTTATATTGTAAACGTTCACATGAACCCAGAGAACAACACAACCAACATGTCTTCATTCCAAATAACAGAAGTCAACAGAATGTTCATTCCCCAGCAACTGGTTAAATGAAAAGGTCCCCTGTTAAGACTCTGCTCCGTTGCTTCTAGCAGTAAACCTGCCAAGACAGAGCCCTAACCACTGGGGCAGACACCCAGCGATAAATCTACACAGTCCCAGAAAAGTCTTTACAACACCTTTTTTTTTTTTAAGCATGAGAAATTCCAGGCCTCAGACAATGCACCAAAGTATCTAAGTTACCAAAAAAAAAAAAAAAAAAAAAAAATCCCCTCCCGGAACCAGCTCAGATACAGTGATGGATCCCACTCTTGAGCAAATGCTAAAAGGAAACTGGTTTAATCAAAACCTTCCAAATGTGAAAAGAACAGCGGGAAGATGTGCAACACTTGCTTAGCTGCTCACCAACATCTCAGCTTCAGGAAAGAGAAGCGCGGCTGGGGGCAATGAGGCCCTGTAGGGTGACCACCGCCCCACCAGGGGCATCCTGGGAGGGATGGAATGATTTGCTTTGGGAATGCTGATGGCATTGCATTACTAACTGGACTATAGACTGCTGGATGATTTGCATTCTGGAGAGGAACTCGGGAGGCAGGTGTAGGACTCTAGAATCACACATTCTTCCCTCCATTTCCCTTCCATCTCCATTGCTACTGAGAAGGATGGAGAGGGGGCAATGTGGGGGTGTTGTATAAAGGCTCTCAGCAGGACTAAATGGAGGTCCTCAAATCCCCATCAGTACTATCTGTGTGTGTGTGCATGCATGTTGGAGTAACTCTATTCCTGATCCTTGAATCTTGGCTTCCATTTGACGCAGGAACCACTCAGGACTCCCAGAACTTTAACCCTTGTCTGACCTTGGGACACAGCAAGCAGGACAAGTCACCCACTGGACCCCTGGTTTTATCTTCCTTCGTGTTAAGAAAAGTCCTCGCCACCTCCAGTGGAGAGAGCCACCTGTGTTTTCTTCCTGTGGTAGGCCCTTCGGGTAACTGTTTCCTAACCCACAGCCTTCACACCAATGCAGAAGTTAACCACACAGGGTAAGAGAAGCAAGCTTCTGCACACCAAAATGTCACATGACCCCACTCCCACTGGGTCCCACAGTGCTCCTAGGTAGATAGAACCGTCCATCCATTCCAAAGAGCTCAGCCCAAAGTCCATTAGGAAACTGATGTCAAAAGTCCTCTTCCTGGAGTGTCTGGTAGGGGCGGTTGCAGAACACACTCTGGTACGTGAATGCTTTTCGCTCTTAGACAGTAGATGTCCACCAAGAACCCTGAGCCACTTGGTGGGTCAGTCCCTCCCCTAAGAGATGCCCCTTTCCTTTTTATGATTTAAGGTGGCATTCTGGGAAGTGGGGGGTGTGTGTGTGTGTGTAATCATTGCCTCGCAGTTTTGTATTTAGACCCATAATTTAACTAAACACCACAGCTCTCCACATACCTCTTGGCTCCACCAAGAAAACCCCAGCACCCGTTCCAGGTTGGAAAATTGCTGTTTACACATAAGAACTGGCCAAAGTTAGCTGCTAACTCGACTGCGAAGAATACTCCACCTTCTTGCTTCTAACCAGGGCTAACTTTTTTTTTTTAAGTTTGAAAAATTCCCTTTTAAAAAAGTGTTTCCTTCTAAAACTGTCACTCAGAGGGGTTGTATTTTTATAAAATAGGATAAATCAGATAAGGGTGTATATGTGTGAATAGGTACATATGTGTGTATTTGAAATCTGGAAGGAGGTCAGAAAAGATAAATCACTTTTAAGAATGAAATTGAAAGGGAAAACTTAGCATTGATCCAAACACATTCGTTGTTATACAAGAAAACATTTTTTTTTTGGAAGCTGGAAATATTTATTACCTTGTTTTTAAATATAATTTATTATTTTTTATTATTTAGTATACCATTGTTTTACATCCTTGTTAATATTTTGACAGTATGGCATTTCTGCTCTCAGATGTGGTCACCATAGTTTTCTCCCGCCACCAAAGCTCCATAATCCCCCATCATAGTCCACTGTGCTGCCCCCTCTCTCATCCCTCCCCCTCATTCCCTTTCCCTTTCTGGAGGCCTCAGATCTGTGGCAAGCTTTCTAGGGTTGGTTTTATTTTATTTATTTATTTTTTTAAAGATTTATTGATTGATTGATTGATTTATACATACATACATGCAAGCACTGGGTACAGTCAGAAGCGCGGGAGGGTGAGAGAATTCACCAGAGCCAGAGCGGGGAGCAGAGCAGGCAGAGGGACTGAAGTACACTGCTGAGGGGAGCAGCGGGCGGCAGGAGAGGTCTGCGCGCCATGTGGGACCCTCCTCTGGTGGCCGGGGAGCAGCCAGGGATTGAACCGGCGCAGCAGAGGTTGCGGGCAGCTTCGCAACCCAGCGCTCAACCGCTGCGCCACTAGGGAGGCCCTAGGGTTG